GCATAAATTCAGTACATAACAAAAATCAAATCAAATTAAATGAAATGAAAGAAATCTTTTTAAAACTTAACTACTAACTAAACTAAACTTAATTTTAAATTCTGAATCTGGGTTGGGGATGACTCTCAGCTACTTCCACACTGAATTTTAACTCAACAACTGTAAAAATCAACAGACTGTGTGTTAGCTGATATCAGTTAGCTGCAGCCGTAATCAGCTGTTGATGTCCATCAAATCAACACTTTGAGGGTTTTATTTAAATAGGTTCACCATTTTATTTATTTTTATTTTATTTTTTACCAATATGACACACTCACATTGCCTTTGTCACCAAAAGAATTGTAACTTGTAAAAGGAATCAGTTTTGGGAGTTATTCTTCACGACCCCAGATATTAGTTTTTGTTTCATGACTTCTCTGAATTAATCAGCAGACATCTTATCTCACACTTGAACCAGATTTGATTTTTAAAAGTTTTTTAATAAACCAGCCTCCTGAGCCTCGTCACGCCTCTGCTCCTGTGTGATGTCGTTTCTGACTGGACTTCCTGTCCAGCTCAGACATGGTTCTCTGATATAAGGAACTATATCGTTGTGATGAAACCAGTGAGGTGCGAGGTGTGGCTGCGGTCACGCTGTGGAGTTTTTTTAAATAAACACCAGAGAGAAAAGATCCATTTTATGACCTGTTCAGATCTTTTTTTGTTTGTTAAACTTGTGACACCAGCAGACTCACATAAAATGAGACAAAACCATAACCTGAACACATTCCATCTTTATGAACTCAGAAGGATTCGTGTGATAAGAAATTAAAAAAGTCACAACAAGAAGCAAAACAACATGTTTTTGCGGGAAATGTGATATAATACAAGGTGAAGGGCACTTTTCTTATCAATAGTTCAGATTGTTGGTCAGGGAGCTGAAATCTRTTCAAACTGTTAAAATGTTGCTCTTGAGTTTTTACCCCTGCCCTCCCGCTCGTGCCTGTGTGTGTCTTTGTCTTTTGGTTTCGTGTGTGTCATTGTGACAGCGTTTGCTTGTATATGTGCTGCTCTCAGCTGTTTCCTCGTCCGACAAACAACAGGCCGTCCGCTTGAGTCAGCAGCAGCGTTTCCTTAAATCAGCCACACGGAAACATGCTGGCACACACTGAGATTACAGAGCAAACGTGTCCACTGTGTGAGTAATGTTTGGTCCCCCCCTCCCCCCTGCCCCCCCACACACACAGGTCTGCTGACCTTCGTGAACTGTGCCTATGTGAAGTGGGGCACCCGGGTCCAGGACTTCTTCACCTACGCTAAGGTCATCGCCCTGATCGCCGTCATCATCACTGGGCTGGTGAAGATCGGACAAGGTGTTTATGCACAACTCACATCAATCATTAAGTGATAATCCAGATTATCTGCTGCTTAAAAGCTGTTTAATGATTATTATAATGACTGCACATCCAGGAACAGGCCTTAAGTTGATGACTGGGCTTCTTTTCTTGTTTTTCAAAAGACATTTCACTTCTCACCCTGAAAAGTGCAGTTTTTAATTTAAGCTGAACTCACATGCAAATCAATCTCCCTACCCTCCCTTAAAAGTCTGGTCTGAATAATAATAATAATAATAA